GGGTGCTGTAGGACCTGGCTGGAGCTGGGTGCTGTAGGACCTGGCTGGAGCTGGGTGCTGTGCTGGGAGCATGGAGCTCCCGGGCAGGGGGATCAGCCAGAGACATCAGCAGCACGTGTCAGATTGAAATAATGGGGTCTGTTTATTCTGCAGCMGACTAAAGTGCCAAATGCCAGAAAGATGAGTGGGAATAAGCAGCCYGTGATGGATGGGGCCGAAGCAGTGATTTATTCTGCAACAAGAAAGAGGCAGGTTGAACATTAGAAGAGGAGCTCTCCATTAGCAGTGGAGGRGCAGTAAAGCAGCCTTTCTGGGAAAGCCCTGCATGCCTTCCTGGTAGCTTTTTGAGGTGCTGTCACTCAGGTGTGTCAGGATTTTTGCAGAGGGAGGTTGATGTGCTGTGTTCTTGGCTGCACACACCGTACTGCAGCTGTCTGGGCATGTGTAATGATGGCATTGTGACAAAAAAAAGACTTTTCGGGAAAGTGGAGGAGCTGAACTTAGCAAAGACTCAATATAATTGAATGTTTGCAACAGCACCACCCTATAGGAACCAAATATCTGGGGAATCCTGACAACATCTGCTCTGTTAGAAACACTATATACTTTTTTGCATGATTGCATCAGAAGTCTGATCTTCAGGTTTGCTAATCCYGGCAGTTCTGCATCCAGAAAGTTTTAAACTGCCTTTCAAATGGAATTTTGAGTAACAACCACCTAAGAATATGTTAAACTGTATGCTTTTTCAGGGTTTTTTTTTGTTGTATTTGAATGTTTCAAGTTTCCAAAACATGGATATCAGCTACGTTAAAATGAGCGGGAAAGCTAATTGGTTTTTGTTAATATTTTCCTTTCATATTGGGAGAKATTTACATTTCAGTTATTAAGTTCCTAAATCGTGCAGAGCCACTTAGGTAATGGAAACACTGTCCTGTGCCTGGTGCATCAGGTGCCTCATTTCRTTCTGCAGCAGGGCTGTGATGCTTTCCATCCTCAGCTCAGTGTTCCCCACTTTCCAGCCTTATACAGTTGAGGTCCAGGTSTGTGTTATAATAAAAATCAAAGGAGTTGTGATGAAATGTCTGAAGGAGAGCAGGGGGATCTACTTTTCATTCATTAGCTTAACAGCTATGTGAAATCTTTTAAAATTGTTTTCAGTGCATGAGCCTTGTTGTTGTTYGTTCTTTCTCTGCCTCAGAAGAATCCAACAGCATTATAAATGTGTCACATTTTTTTAGGCCCAAAAGGGTGGAACAGCTTTTAATGGGAAAATGTTTTTTTTTTTTTAAAAAACTAAAAAACTCAACAGCGAAATAAATTGAGCCTCAAAAAGTGATTGAAATCTCCAAGTCAAYACACAAAAGGTATGCAAAGACTCGTGAAGTCTGACAGAATCTCTTTAGTTTGAGGTGTCTTGCATTTTGCATCAGGGCTCACACTTTTGAGACCCAGCAGCAGCGAGCAGCACTGTCAGGCGAGGCGGGTTTGAAAAGCTCACGAAAGCCTGAAATTACACACAGCAGATAACCCAAAGAGCGCGTTTTCCCTGAATTGAGCGAGCGATTACCCCGTGCGTGTGCTGGAAACCGTGTAACTGTGTTCCTTCCTTGTAGCCCCAGCGCCGCGTCACCTTCCACCTGCCCGACGGCTCCCAGGAGAGCTGCAGTGACAGCGGGCTCGGCGACCACGAGCCCACCAGCGGGGCCAGCGCCTCCCAAACGCTGCCCCTGGGCTTCCCCCAGGACGAGTTCTACGAGCAGGCGTCCCCCAACAGCCGCACGGAGGGAGACGGCAACTCCGACCCCGAGTCCAGTAAGTGACCAGCTCTGCTCAGCTCACTTGTTAAATCATTGCTCTCCACAAAGTCAGGCTTTTTTTTTTCTTTGTTCTTCTCCAGGTAATTATTAAAAATGGATGTTGGTTTTAATACCCAGGCCAAAGAAGGCTTGTGTTTCTAGAAATGGGAGGTCTGGCTGTTGGAAATGAAACACAGTGAGCTGTTAAGGGTTTATGGATAACCTGGTGTTTTTATGGACCTGCTGTGCTGTGCGTAGAGCAGCTTTCTGATGAGGTTAGCGCTGGTGCCCTAATGGTCATAAATAGCACGCTGAGGGAATTCACTTTCTTTAATGTTTCCCTGTCCAACACTGCTGCCTGCTGTGGTTTAACGSGGAGCTCGTGGGTGATGAGCAGCTCTGTGAAAAGGCTGCAGTCTCCAAAAATAAGGGTTCCTCGATTTGTCCTTTCAAAGCAGGAATGGTGTGTAGTAATAATCACAAAAAAGTTTGCCAAATTCTACCATCACCCCCTGCTTTCCTGTGATGTCAGAACCAGGGAGGTAAAGCCAGCAGGAGCTGTGTGCTGGTCTGTGATGGCCAGCTGGACACTCCACTGAACTTCAGGCCACTGCTGAWTGTCCAGGGGCTCCTTATCTGGATTAAACTGAACCGTGCCATTGATAAAGAGACACCTGAATGTCTCTGAGCCTCTAAGGCCTTGTTAGCAGCTTAATAAGTGATTTGGAAATACATCTGTTCTGGGCAGAACTTGGCCCAAAAGGTGGATTTCAGCTGCTCTGGTGTATCGTGAGGAATGAATTAGTGAGTGCTGTGCACTTGAAATGGCTGTGGAAGGTGGATAAACTCTGCAGTGGCAAATACAGAATCCAGCAGAGAGCATTCCCTGCGAGTCTGGAACACCCAGCCTGGCTCTGGGAAATCACACCTCAGCCCAGGACTGCAGTTCGAGGGCCTTTCTGCTTTTTGTCCCCTCTTTTGGTTTGTAAACTATACCTGGGCATCCTAACTTCCAGAACTTTTAAAATTTGCAAAGTGGCATGTTTCCTGAAATAATGCCTGAGTGTTATGTTTTCCAAGTTGATAGACAGCTGACAAAAACCATCAGAGGTTTTGCATTTTGTGTTGGAAACATTCTTCATTTGCTTTCATTTGTGTTTATGTGTTTGAGGCTGTAATATACCCTTTATAATATTCTAGGCAGTCAAAGTGGAGCCTTCACAGAATTAAGCTTTAAAGGAATACAGATGCACTCCTAAAGAAAGAAAATACCAAGTTATGTATTATTTCCTGCTTTTCCTATGCATACTCATGGTCTGAAGTTGCTTTCCAGCTCTTTCTTGTTGTTTGTAACTGATATTTATGCTTTACTGTGATGATGTACATGAAGTCAGTGTTGGGGTCCTCTCCTGCAGAGGAGTTCTCAGAATAGGAGTGTGGTTCTGTCTTGCCCTTTACAAAGAAGCTCAGATTTGGGATTTGCCAAAGCATTTTGTGCTCAGGTTTAGTAATTTTGGAACAAATACTCAWYATGAGTCTTGCAGAATGTGGCTCTRAAAGTGCTGCCACTCTGACATCTGAATGGCGTTGGCACACATCTCTGTGGGCAGGCTAAACAGACATCGGATGTCTTTCCAAGTGTGAAGTTGAAGAAAGTTTAATCACCTGTCTAATTACCTGACAGCTCAGTTTTAAACTTGAAGCCACAGTTTAATTAGTGTTTGTTCTGTGGGAAGATTTTTCTTCCCTTCCAACTTGAATTTTATTGAAACAGTTTAATTGGTGTAGTGCATGGTTACAGCGTGGAAAGCTCCTTTTGTGGCCCTTTTTAGGGTTTTGTATTTACATTAATGGCAGCATCTAGTGGCAGGCACAAAAAAAGCAGATTTAAATAGCGATTCTTGTGTGCTTTCATACATCCAAGTGAGAAAGAGGGGAAAATCCATGGGATATTTGTGTTCAGTGTGCTGCTGCAAAGGGACTCAGTGCAGATAACAAAAACCAAAATATCCATGGGCTGATCTGGGCAAGGGTTCACCCTGAGGGTCGTGGGGGTGGTTTGTGCACCCAGGACTTATTTAGCATCAGTGAATCAGTGAAAACAGCTCTGAATTGGGAGTTTCCTCCACAATTTTCTGCTAGATTTCTGATTGTTGGTGTTTCTTTAACCTGATTTGGAGTGGCTTGATGCATTCCAAGTATTTCTTGTCTTCCTTCATGGATCAGAACCTTATCAATGTGGAAAGAGTCAGGAATAGACAGGCAGGAGATGTGGGGAGGGTTCCAGAGCAGAGTGAGCATGGCCTTTGTTCCCTCTCAAGATTTGTCTCAATCTGAACCATTTTCTGAGGTGTTCAGCCTCATTTGTCACCTGATGGGGATTGAGTTCATCTTTGCCTGCTGAGGAGAGAGATTTGGGATGAAATTATGTCAGAAATGTCTAAAACCAGCCAAGTGCCCTCTGAAAGCTGATGGCAGCTGTGACATCACATCTGAACATGTTCAAAAGTGTTTTCTCCCTCTTGCTTTTCCTGACTGCAGTCCTTTGCTGTTATTTGTTTCTCTAAAACTGGAATTTGTTCTATTTTGGAAACTTTCCATGTACTAGCAAAAGCAAAGCATTTACTGCAAAACACTAAAAAAAGATGAGCATAACAAAATTAAAAAAAAAAAAAAAAAATCCAACCTTGAGAAATATTGGTGAGAGGAAGCTTTACAAATTCATACCCAATACAGGAATGAAGCAGGGAGGGAAAAAAAAATAACTGTAAGGTTATAGTGGTTAGAAAACTGTGAAAAAATTTATATGGAAACCTTTAAAATTAATTGACTGTGCTAATTAAAATTAGAAATAGGCTATTTAAAATGATTTGTCTTCCCTTACTTTAGTTACCTCCTTAGAAAAACATAAAGTGCAGGGTGGTAGATGCATCATAAGGAAGAGATGCCAATAAGCTGTCACAGTAAGTAAATAGTGATGTAAAAATGCATGTAGGTTTGTAGRGAACCTTATCCTTCAGTGACTGCACTCTTGTACCTGGTGTTCATATATTTCCTGCTCATAAATTGCTCAAGTAAGGATGCTCCAGTAACTCCCTGTGCTCAGGATTTTAACCAAAGCATCTTTTTCCCCACTTTTTCCCCCTCTGTGTTGTGTTTAAATACATAATATGCTACAAGAATAGTCAAAGCCCCACAAATTCTCTTTTTATGGACTTTTCTGGCAAATTCTCTCTCCCTGGTGCCCTCTGAGTGGCTGTAAGGAGGGATGCTGATCAAAGSTACATGTAAAGCTCAGTCATGTTGGGTTATTTAATACATGTGTAAAATATTAATGACAAATTTTCACGCTTCATCTGTTTTTATAGCCTTATCAAAAYCTTTTTTCTTTCCTCTAGAGGATAAAATTATTTTACTTACTTTTGTTTGGAGAAGGTAAAACATGCCTAGTTCAGCCAAGAAATTGGGCAGAGTAAGAGGAAGATTGCAGCTTGGGGACAGGGAGTGTGGAGGGGAAGCCAGAAAACCTGCAAGTAATCTGCAATTAAATAATAGCAATCATTTYGTATGAAGAAAATGGAAGTATAAACAAAGCTGGCTGAAAATTRAAGTTAATGAGGCAAGTCACACTGAGATTTCAGGGTTTCACATAGGAGGAAACTGGTGTAATAAGGAGAGGGGGTCTCCRTGAAGAATATTTAACATGAATTAGTGACTAATAATCCAAAAAATTTGCATTGAAAATCAGCAAGTGTAGAGCAGAGGGTGGCCAAAWGGGGAATCAGCAGACACTGTAAAGTTGTGGCTGTGTCAAGCTGCTGCTGCCAGCGGTCTCTGGCTGCCTTTTTTGTCTCCCAATCACACCTTCACCTATTTGAAGAGCACTTTGGGTGAGCTGGGTGGAAGAATTCAGCTGGGTTCAACCCTGGGAATGGAGAAAGGTAATTTTTAAACACATGGGTTCCCCAATTCCCTTCATTCCATGAATTCATCACATCCACTGCTTGTGGGCAGCAAACCAGAGAAAGAGTAACTGGACAAAGCTCTGCTGGCTCTGAGTGAATCAGGCTGCAGAGAATCAGACTTGGGCAGAATTAAAACTGCAATCTGTGGTGTTTCACCASGGAAGAAGGAGGTTTGCAGCAAGGAATCTGCTCGTGATTAAAGACAGCAAATATTTCTTCCCCAAAATTAAAAGAACACTTTCACCTTGGCTTAATTTTGGATAAGGGTGATGCTGATGAGCACCAAGGCAGGCTGATGGAGAGTGATGATAATGACACTGAAAGTCAGAGCGGGTTCAGTGCATTCGTGTGGAGGAGAGGGGATGATCTTCCTCCCAGGATATCAAAATTGATATAGTTTTCATTATTTTCTGTAATTCTGAGGCACAGGGTGTCAAGAAAAAAATAAAGTACTGGTCAAACTTCACTACTGGRAAGCACTGACAAAAAAGAAACTACGATATATGTAAATGTGGTGCAATAAATGGTGTCAGAGTTTTCCCAAGAGCAGGGCAAGATTAGCTCCATTATCTCACTTCCATTACATATATTTTTAATATTGGGGAATACTTACAGAGCTAATCTATATATATTTAATATATATAGATAATATATAGAGATATATAACTGCTATTATGACATTGGGGTGGAGCATTAGTAATTGAGAATGAAAAGACCTAGAATAATACAAGGATTTGTAATAAATACAAGTAATTATCTTCATTAATGAGTTTGGCATTAAAAAGCAGGAACATGTCAATGAAGTGTCCTAGGAGCTCMCAGCCAAGCATCACTGACAATAGAGGAGGAGGTGTGCATGACACAAGAATTGGATTTTGCTAAGGATCTGAAGTAATAGCAGTGGGATGAAATCTAATAGTTGAGAGTCATTCTCACAGGAGCTGGTGTGTGTAACTAGTATATAAATCACCAGCTGAAAATGACATGAAGAAAAAAAAAGCAACTGAGTGTTACAAAGATAAACTATAAATCACCGATACCTAATGTGACT